TTTTTATACAATTCAATTATTTATTTATGTGTATGATAATAATTAACATTAATTTATATATTTATATCCTATTATAATTCACTCAGTTAATTCTTCAAGTTCATACATATATATTTTAGGACCATACTAGTTGTACAACATAGGTTGACAACCACTCAAATGGAGGGGGGGTCCGCTTTTTTTAAAAATTGTTTAAACATGTGGACCCCGCACACATGTGAGATGTTGTCAACCAAGGTTCTCAACGTCGGTTGTACAAATAGCATTTTTCTATATTTTATATATTTTGGGGGCTATTCAATTACTTTTGAAATACTACAATTTAATTATTCATATATGTACATTTATACTAATTAACATTCACGTATGAATATATAAAATTTAACATTAAGTCATCAAGTTTATGTACACATGTTTTAGGAGCTATTCAATTATTTTATGAGTAAATAAATTATTCAACTTTATGAACACATATTTATTTTCAAGATTATTCAATTTATCATAAATTATTCTAGGAGTATATAAATTATTAAAGATAATATAATTTGGGAGCTATAATTTATGATATAACGCCATTTGTCTAAAGTGGAAATTACGTTAATCCCTACTTTAAGTATTCAACATTTTAAAATCAGAATGGAAATTTAACCTTTCAAAAATAAGATGTTTTATTTTAATTAATATTTTTACTAAATATATATATTCCAAACCCTAATAAATTCACACTCTCCTCTCTCTCTACATTTCTCCCACAACCCGTCTCCTCCTTCCATCCATTTTCTCTCTACACAATCGTGAACCGTTCACTTCCATTATTCCCACTCTCCTCTGTCACTACACAACCCGTCTCCGCCGTCGCCGCTGCCCTCTTCGCCCAAGAAATGATAATTTTGCTGTAGATGTAGACAAATGCCAGATTTATGTGTCTCTGAAGAGAATGGGGCAGATTATTTAGTGCTGACATGGGTAATATTTTTTAAATCAATATAATTTGAAAGGAAACTTATAGTCATTTCTGGCAAAGAGTTGAGCTTCTTCACGAAGTCCTTCAATTCAGAGACAGATCGAGTCTGTATGAAATACATGTAATCCAATCAAACTTATTTCAGGTACTAGAGCTTGTTTTGTATTACAAATAATATTTAGATTTAGTCAGAATAGCTTGAGAAGCTTTCTTAAAAGCTCTATTTACATAACCACAAATCATGTAACTTGCAAATTTGAGAAGACGGGATGGGTTCAGATCTGGTTGTGGGCAACTGATTTATTACCTAAAATGGTGGTGGTGAAGGTGGTGACTGGTGGCAGTGGAGGTGTGCTGTGCGATGCGGTGGTGAGAACGGAGATCTCTAGTAGTGCGGTGAAGGTGTGTGTTGCGGTGCAGTGGTGATGTTTGACGGCGCTGTTATGTGCGGTGTCGTGACGGTAGTTGTGGGTTGGATGAGATGGACGTAACCTTAAAATTCGATAACCTGTGACTAAAAATATAATCTGTGACCAACCATTTTGTTATCTGTGACTTAAAAATTATATAATCTGTGACCGTGAAAAAATATGTGACCAACTAATTTGGAAATTTGTATTTGCGTGACCTTCTGTGACTAAAAATATAATCAGTGACCTTAAAATTTCGTAATCTGTGACCAACCATTTTGTTATCTGTGACCTAAAAATTGTATAATATGTGACCGTGAAAAAATCTGTGACCAACTAATTTGGAAGTCTGTGACCTATAAATTTTGATCTATGACCCACTAATTTTGAAATCTGTGACCAACGAATTAATTGTGACCTACGAAATTTTTGAACTGTGATCGTAAAATAGTTGCCGAAATCGGTCACCGGAACAATCATCGGAACATTCGTAAGAGCAGTCACCAGAATAGTCGCTGAAAAGAGTGGTGACTGGAATGACTGCTGGAATAGTCCTCGGAACAGTAGGGGTAGTGGAGGTGGGGTGGATTAATTATATTATATTAGAATTAAATATTTAATAATTTATTAATTCATAAACAAAAATTTTAAAAAAAAATTTGAAATTTGAAACTTGTTTTCTT